GTATCATACCTGCGACAAGCTCACTGCGATTTCACCGCTGGCCTCTTCACCGTGCTTGTCCGCACAGTTTGCACATGGATACTATAAAAATCGACCACTATTCTTCCTTTTTTTTTTTTTTTTTTTGATGAATACGCCTTAACAGTTCCATCTTTGTGGATCCCTCCACAACATGCAGTCAAGTCTCCCGTCTCTCGTTTCAGGCGAGTTGGACCAGTGAGACATTTCAAAAGCTGCAGGAGTCTGATCCTCAATGACTGAGGTCGGCAGCCCTGCTGTAACGCGGCTCTCAATCAGGATATTTTTAGTCGTATAAAGCGGGTTTCAGTTGTTAGTTATCGCCACCGTTCAGAAGTTACTGTATTCACACTTTAAATGTTTGGAAATCTCTTTCATGCAGGAGGTTGTTGCACACGTTTCTCCTCTCATTCCTTCCTTCTTTGCGCTGCTGCTGGGTTTCATCTCCAAATGCTTTTATTCAAACTTTTTCTTTTAGATTTTTGTCTAAATGAAAAAAGCGACTTCAGCTGGGATGAACAATCCCTCAAATGCTTCAATTACAAACATCCTGCTGGTAAAATCAGACTCCATGCTTCGTTTTGTTCACATTTTAAACACTGAGCAGTACTTGGTGTGTTTCACAGGGGACAGTTTTTGCATTCGTGCTTCTGTTTCATAAAGTGTGAGAAGACTGGAGATTAAAGGAAAAAAGGGTAAAAAAAACAACATAAGTTTGAGATTATATCATGACAGTAAGACTTGGCTGCCAACAGATATTAATTCTTCACACGCCTTGAAAACACTTAATATTTACCGTTAGAATAACAAGCAGGTGCAGCATCCAGACTCATGAGGCCTAAACCTGAATAGAGATATAATTTTAACCAATTTTAAATGACAACCTGCAGTAATATATATACAAATATATATATATTTAGAGCACTGTTTGTTTAGTGGAACAAATAGCTGCAGCCCAGAGCTTCACATAATGTTAAAACTAAATGAAAAAGATGGAAGAGTTACCTTGGAAGAGAGGTTGATGGGTATTTTTTGTATATAATGTACATTTATCAATCTGGCTGATCAAGTTGTCCTGTTCTGAATATTGATTTGTCTGCAGTTGTTTTATTTCTTACTTCTAATTCAGCAGATCAAGAGGAAAGATCGTATTTTTCTGCAGCATTTTGAGCTTCAGTAACCCCACAAGCTGCTTAAACACTAAGATTTAAAGGTCCTCTTTTATATTTGTTCCAAAAGATGCTAATATAATATTTATTTTTTGTGATATGCTCATTAGAAACAGTTTACTCACCAGTTAGTTTTTCTTTTAGCTAAAACTTAATTTGCTTTAACATTTTATGAATTGGTTTAATCAGTTTAAAATTACTTTCCTAAAAGATGAGTTGGATCATGAAGCTCCTAAATCGAGTTAAATTAATGCATTTTTTAAATGCATCTTTTTTTTCCATTATTCAGCAACTTGCTTCTTACGACCAAGGTCACAGCAACTTCAAAAGCAACAAAAATTTCAAAATATGGTCTTTCACCTCTAAATTATGCAACAGTATTGATGAATTTTCATACACTGTAGATCTGTAGCCTTGTACTTGACCTTTGGTTACTGTGTGGCAACACTGCACTCCAGCAGCAGCGGCTCGCCAGCGAGTAGTTTTCTCCTCTCTGGGTCGTAGTTTAGAGACTTTTGTTTAATGTATTACATCGATAGAGAGTAACTGGCAATAAAATCTTTGCTGAGCTGCATGTGCTGAACTCGGAGCTAATTTATGCACGTTGAGGTCTGGACTTTGGTAAAACCAAACCCAGCTCGGTTTTTCCACGGCTCACCCTGACAGCATTCTCACCTGCTGATAAAATCCAGCCTGGGACTGGATTTAAGCCGCAATCACGTGCAGATTTTCTGTTATCTCTCAGATAAAATGCCAACCGAGAACAGGGTGATCATCCGTAGAGTTTATTGGCGGCCCCCCAATGCTGCAAAGTTGTTGCACATCTTACTACTTGTTCAGTTTGTAGCAAAAAAAAAAACATACGCACACAGACAAGCCTCTGGTGTAAAGCTCTTTATTCATTTGAAGCTGTCTCTTTGTCCAGACATAAATATTTTACTTTAGTTTATTTAGTTTGATAAACCAATGGAGTGGTCTTAATGCCTATCTGGCTTTACTCTGATACCCAAAAATTAAACAGCCAATCGCCTACAGAAGACAACCAGTTCATGCAGGTTTGTGGAACTGGTTTGAAGGCCTGTTTAATAGAAAGTATGTGGATTTGTGTTTGGACTTTGACTAGGCCATTCTGTCACGCTGAGCCCAGATGCTGCATTATTACAGTCGTCCTGCTGGTAGATGGACCTTGAACTCGGTCTAAAGCTTCTTGCAGCATCAAACCAGTTTTCTTTACTATCCCTGATAAGCAGCCCCGCAGCATGACCCTGACACCACCTTGTTTCATTGTTGGGGTTGGCTTTTTGAGTTTTTACGGCACTAGTGGCTCGTTTTTCCAACAGTAGGCTGACAGGAAAGGGGGTATGAGAGAGGGAGGGACATGCAGCAAAGGACCACAGGCCGGATTCGAACCTGGGTCGCCCACATCAAGAACTAAGGCCTCCGTACATGCGTGGTGCGTGCCAACCACTAGGTCACCTGCACGCCATGGCAGTTGGCTGTTTCTAGTCTGGTCAGTTTTTTAGAAAAATTTCACATAAGTAATCACAGCTTCATCCATTTAAGATTATAACTAAATATATAAGCAGAAAGCCCAATTGATTTTGTCCATTCTGATATTTTTACATAATATCACTAACTTAATGGTAAAGCTAACAAAAAATGAACAGAATTAAACAGTAATGGGGATTGTACCACCTCGAGTAATAAAAACCACAAAGACATAAGAGGGCAAGACATTTTTCAGAAGAACAATCAAATGAAGTCTGATCTAACTGGTTTCACGTACTCAGTCCATTTGGACCAAATCTTATAAAATTTTTCTTTTTCTAATTGGGTGGAAAAACAGATCCTTTCCATCACATAAATCTGGTAAACAATTTCAATCCATTCACTAGTCTGGTCAGTCTTACTGCATGTGTTATACTCACCTTGGAGAATGTTCAGACACTGGTCTAAAACCTCACCAGAATTTATGCATGAGCCACAATTACCCATAATGCAGCAGCGCTGCTCTGTAGCCATAATGGCAACCATTCAGACAATGGAAGAACCTGACAATAAATGAGTTATCGGGTCCCACTGCTGGGGCAGATCAGGCACAGATGAGTGATAAAACAAAGGATTTATTATCTAAGAGAAAAAATAAGCATTTTACACATTATAGTTTAGGAGACTTATAACATTTAAGCAGAGAAAAAAGGAATTTTGGGCATTTTTATAAAGCCGGGCACCCTGAGGTACTTCTGGTTGCACAAATAAGCTGATGGTGCGGATTAGGTTCATTTAAATTACACATTTTGTTTGTTATCACTGTAAACTTTATCATGTAAACGGGAAAAGAAAAAGCCGCTCTCTACATTAAGAATCGTCTCAAAATATCGACAGCGCATATCAGTTGGACTGAATATGATCGACATCAGCCGCTCTAGTCTACTTAAGTTATAACCAACATGTGAGGCCTTCACAAAACATCTGGATGAAAACTGCAATTAAATTAGAAACAGCTGGATTTTATTTACTGGTTGGTGAAATCTGAAGGCAGCCGTCGACACCGGGTTTTATTTTGGCGGTTTAATAGAAATACTTATTTAAAGTGTTCCTTTTTAATTTAAATTTGTCCATCATGTTTCTTCCTTTTCTTTTTTGTAGCGTGAAATGTTCTGAATATTTTATGATTAGCAATTTTAATAATGATAAAATGTAAACTTTGTGTTTTGACAAAGAAATCTGTATAAAATAGGCCAGAAGTCGATGTTCTGTTTTCTTTTTTAAGTCCAGAACTTGGAGCCCGTCGGGCCTCGTGTCTGTTCTTCATCTGCTTTTCTGCTCCGGTTCTTCTTCGCTGTTATTGTTAGATTTTATAACATTTTCCCAAAGCCTCTCGCTATCATGTGCTGAAGGCAGTAAAGGATAAAAGGAATAAACGCGTCACCGTTTACTATGTCGGGAGTGTGGGTTGCATCAGATGGCGTGTTTATACATACGTTACGGTGTGTTCTTGTTGTTACATCACCGTCCTGCTGTGTAATCTGACTGGGATCAATAGGCCACATCACAGCCGTGTCGCCGCCCGTCCTTCAGCAGGTCGCTGCAAACGCTTCACTGTCACCGCTGCAGATACGAGGGGCTTTAAAGTGTGGGAAACAAATTGTAATCTTGGTATTTAGACCAGTGACTTTTTTTTGTTTTGTTTTTTTTACAGCAGTTGCATAAACACACACAGACGCGCAGAAATGAGCATTGTTATATTGTGCCCATATGTTTCCCAGCCTGAGCTTTCTCAGCCTGATTGCCAAGGCACATCTGGTCCTAATAAGGTGTGTGTGGGTGTGTGTGTGTGTCACTGCGCCTCAGCTCTCCAGCCTTTCAGTCTGGCCTTCTGCAGAAGTGGTGTTGAGTCTTTTACTGCATCGCAGCACAAAGCCTATACTTTTAACCTTTGCTTAATAGTGTGTGTGGCTCTGAGTGTGCGTCCTGATGGTAGTTATCAGGCCGTATCTCATATTTTGTCTGCTCGTGTTTCAAGGCCTGATAATCTTTAAAAACAGTGTTGATTTTCCAGCTTTGATGCCGATAGTGGGAATGGTTTGATATATCGGCTGTCTGTGGGAACTGGTTCAACCAAAACCATCATCAGCATCAGCTCCAGGCAGCACAGCAGCAGAGCAAAGCTTTTTTCAGATAAAACAGGCGATGCCTGACCTCTGCTTCTCCTGGCATGTCCAAGACTGAACATTCAGGGATTTGTTGAGTAGAACATCTCAGGGATGTCACTGACCCACCACCCTAACGCTCCTCCCGTTTTTGCTGCAGGGTTCGCCTTTCCAGAATGGGCTTACAAGCCGGAGTCGAGCCCAGGCTCCAGGCAGATCCAGCTGTGGCATTTCATCCTGGAGCTGCTGAGGAAACAGGAGTACAACGACGTGATCGCCTGGCAGGGAGACTATGGCGAGTTCGTCATCAAGGACCCGGACGAGGTGGCCCGCTTATGGGGGGCCAGGAAGTGCAAACCACAGATGAACTATGACAAGCTCAGCCGAGCTCTGAGGTGAAGCTAATGTCTTACATTTACTGTCTTCTGCTTTTCATTTTTACTCGCATTAACTCTGCTTCTTTAAAAAGTTCAGGCCTGGTTAATCTAAAGGCTTTTACTCTGTTGTCATGTTTAGGAAGTTTTTTCTTTAAATTTAAGAAAGCATCTGGAAATTTCTCAATAGGTTTAAACGAGACACTCTCCTATCCAATGTTGCTGAATATGTTTCCATCAGCTTCTTTGTCTCACGTTTTGAAGTATCCAATTAGAAGAGCTTAGTGGAAACAAAAAAAAATCTACATTTCTGAATTTTAAGTTGCATTTAGGACTTGCTATCTACTTCCTGTTTATTACATCCAAGCATCACTAACGTATGACAACCTCTCGCTCATCACCTTGTTAATTTGCTCCCATGGATGGAAACGACTAACATTTCCTTTTTTTCTGATATTTTAAGTTTGCTTGAGATTTGCAAGAGTATTGGTTGGAAATATGACTGATAAACTCTAAATATTTTATATTCAACATACTTTAGTGCAGAAATCATATTTTTATCTTTATTTCAAGAAGCTAGAAGTGCTTCTCTTAATCTTTAGAACATAAGAGATGTTTCTATTTTTTAGAATAAGATCGATTTGCTTCCTGGATGGTTTAGGATTTGTTTTAAGAAGCCTCTTGACCTTGACTTGAGTCCTCACCATAGCTTCCTTCTCTTATTTCTGCATAGAATCATCCTGCATGTTGTCAGATTCATGTCGGACCTTTTATTTATTCCTTCCGAAAGATCTTTGGTACTCGTTTGTGTCCATTTTTGACCAATGTACGAATCAAGCTGTTTGTTTTTCCAACTCTCCGTCCGCCTATATGGTCGTCTGTCTCCTTCATCCTGTTTTTCAGTGCTTCCCTCCATCATCCATCTTCACTCCTTGAATTTTTTCTTATTTCAGTCTGTCCATTCGTCCACCCATCTCTCCGTTTTTCAACTTAAACTGTCCGTCCCTTTCCCAAACCTCCTGTCATTTGTCAATTTGTCCCTCTTTTTTTATTCATCCATTTGTCCCTTTATCCTTGTCTCTATTTTTCCTCTGGTTTGTTGTATAATCAAGCTCTGACTGGTTAAAATGAGCTATAGCTTCGTGCTAAATTTTAGTTTTTTAGTGTTAAAATTGTCCAAAAGAACGGAGAACTCTAGAAATATCACCCCAGAAACATTCTGACCTGTAAAATGCGTCCAACACCTGAGGAAGTCTTGGACAGTTCAAACGTTTCTGCTTCAAATTGTTTGGAACCTTGATGGTTTATATGTTTAGTGCCGTCATGACCGTTTGCGGCGTGTAATTAAGACGAGTCTGCGAGTTTTTGTTTTTGTTTTTTTTTTATAAGCAAGCCTCCACGCTGAAGCACCAGGGTGAGAGCCAATTTAGAAACACCCACCGAGGAGCACATGTGGGATGCTGTAGTTTTATTTAGCCACCGGTATGTTCTCCTCCTTATTTACACAAACACACACACACACATGTAGTCATCGCTGCTGCCTCCTGTGTCGTCGTTACCCAGCCTCCCTGCCACACACATGCAGTCACGCAGATATGCCCACTCACACTCACCACCTTACTGTGTCAGCCCTCCTCTTGCCCAGCTGTCCCGTCTGCAAACACAGTTTTTATTTCAAAATAAATTAGGATACTGTGATATTTAAATGATTTCAGAACAGTTTATTTCATTCCAAGGTGATGAATGTAAAGCAATATATGATTCATTCATGCTACGTTTAGACCGCATGCAGCAGAGGCAGCAAAAACCACGCGTGTTGCTTTATTTTTAAAGCTTGTACAAGTTTAGTTCTTGTACAGAGATGAAGCATGTTTGCTGCTCTGGCTGCGTGGTCGAAAATGGGGTCCGATGGTCGTTGGATGGAGCTACCCTATTCTTTCTATCCCTTAAACAATGGCGGATAAAATCAAGAGTTGTTTGGCTTATTTTAATGAATAATGCTACGTTCAGACCGCAGGCACTGGAAGCAGAAGAAAAGATTCTTCTTCTTCATTTTTGATGCTTGTCCACATCAAATTCAGACGTCCAGTAAAGTGTTTCCTGATGGGTCTGATGATTCTGCTGCTCCTGTGTTCAATGGCAGAGAGCGGCTTTGCTATATTTTTGGTCATCGGTGGGTTAAAACTAGTTTTCATTTGTTTAAAATTGAGAAAGTCAACCAGAAAACTTCATCTGTGCAGTCAGTTTAGATATTCTTCTGCTGTCGGAGCCGCTCACACCCCCGTACTGTGGCAGTCTGAGCGGTACTACGGTGGTGCTCTGTCCCTGGAAATCCCATTCAACAGCAGCCTCTGGCCCGGTCGCCTCCTTTGCGGTTTTCTGCTACCATTTACGGCTACTGGAAGGCGTTTTTCACGTACATAATCCAATCCAATAATAAAGCAAACATATTTTGCTGGCAGGTTTTGATATTTTAAGTTAATTTAGGTGTTAATAAACCTTTTCAGAGGAGTGATAATAGCGCTCTGCATCAGCAGTGCTGTGTCTGTCTCCCTGCCAGCTCCCAGATCAGCTTCTCTCTGATTGGTTGATGTGATGCATTGAGCAGCAAAAGTTACATTTTTCCAACTCCAGCAGCTGCTGTTTCTGAAGTGCATCAGATGCTCGGAAGCCTGTGAGGCGCTGCTTCTGCAGCTCAAAACGCGCTGCAGGACCTTTTGCTGCGTGTCAGCCATTGACTTTGCGT